TCAACAATAATAATAATAATAAAGATAAAATAAAAGAAATTAATGGCAAAACCACACAACAAGGGGGATGAAAGAAAAGGAGATTACTAATACCGTCAAATGCCGCCTCGGTCTCGCTGAGCTACCCCGTGGGCATCAACCATAGGGGATAGCCCCGCCGGACCCTCAACCGAGTGGTTCCTTCGCGCTGCACGATATGCCTACACCTCCGCCCGTTGGCCTTGATCCCCGAATCTCCTAGATGAAAGTTTGATACTGTAACCAATAGTGCTAGGCCCAAGGCTGAGCCCATTGCAAGAGGGCGCCTATATAAACGGGTATCATGTGGCGTGCAGGTTTACTGAAATGCTCCTTTCCGCTCATCACGCAGAGTTGTACCGCTTTCCACGTTGCTTCTCTACATGTACGCACAAACCACGATCAAGCGCACCAATCATAGACAATTTTTTTTCAATCCTAGTTTAATCAGAGATAAAAAGAAACTTGGCTAGCAACCACGCCGACTTCACAATCATCAATAAGAAAAGAGATCACGCGCGCCTTAAGTCTGCGCGCCCATACACCCTCTACTTCTAGTCAATCATTTAATCAGTGCTATCCGAAACACAACAGCGACTCGTGTGGTGTTCTCAGACTGAGGCGGATACCCTTGTAAGGCTATTCGCACTGATAGTCGGAACCGAACATGTTCAATCGAGCGCAAATCAAGGGGGTGTCGAACACGTTCTCATGTGTGTGTGGTGGGTGGGTTCAGTATGGTGTGTGTGTGGTGTGTGCTTATGTGTATGTGTATGTATATGTTCATGAGTGTTGAGCAATGTCTCCAGGCCCCCACCAAACCCTATATACATATTTAAAATAAAACAAAAAAATAAAAAAATAAAAAATGTCCGGGCTCGATCGATTTAAGGCCACGTTCGGGCTCGGTACCGAGCGTTCGGGCTCGGTCACTGAGCCCGAACGCGATGTCCTTCCATTTCGACCACGTTTAGGTCATGTTAGGCCGCACGAAGTCGCAGGGGTCGCCCGGGAAAAAAAACAAAAAAAAATGAAAAAGAAACAAAAAAAGAACTGAAAAAAAGAAGGAAAAAATGTACACACACACACACGCATACACATACATACACACATGCATACACACATACACACACGCATACACATACATGCACACACACACACATACACACATACACTGTCGACTGCCTCCACCGCTCCCGGCCCCGCTGCCTCCCTTACTCCCACGGCTCCCGCTCCCACTCACCTTCCCCACCTGCTCCGGCTTCTGCCTCTCTCTCCCTCTCTCTCATGCACGTGTGCAACCACTCCTGCTCCTGCTGCCTCCCCCTCTCCCGCTCCTGGTGCCTTCCCCGCTCCCGCTCTTGCAGCCGCCCGCTTTTGCTCACCTTTGCCCCCCCTGCACCCACTTCCGCCCTGCACTCTCTTTCTCTCTCTTACTTTCTCTCATATGTGCACGTGCGTGCGTGTGTTGTCATATTCTCTATACACAATAGAACGCCAAAAAAAATAAAATAAAAAAAACATGATTGTGCCAGACTAAAGGCCGTGTGAGCAGCTTTCGCACATGGTTCGGTAGCTCTGCGGGATACACCTATCCAAAGGTGGTGCCAGCCCCTTGGGCAGAGGTAAGTTGTACCTCGCCGGACCTCTATCCTGTCGTAGGGGTTCCCGAGAGGTACGGTTGATGCACTCGGTTGGAGCGGCCAAGGCTCCACCGTAAAAAAGTCATGCAAAAATCATGTGTGAGGTGGCTGGAAGGGTCCCCTTGCGGGACAGATGCGCTTGACAAAGTTGCCACCATGGTGACCAACAAGGGTGACACTAGTCTAAATGACGGATTTAGGAAGAGAATATCATACTCCTCCCTTGAACATCCTGGCTTTCAACATAAAAAAAGTCGGCGAGATGAATACGTTTATAATTTGACATAATCGTTGATTTAATAAGAGCATAGTTTAATATGGCTGCAAACAGATTAATTTGTGATTACAATTATAAAGATAAGTTTTTTAATGTTTATCAACGTGATTCAACATATTTCAACATGTCTCAACATCTTTCAACATGTCTAAACATATTTCATTATGATCAAACTTGTTTCTTTTGCCTTTAACTATCTAAGCCATATTCAGATGCATTAAAAAAAATAGTCAGGTTTTATCGCCGATATATAAAACTTCGATGTAGCTTTTCATTTGGTGGGGGGGGCAGGGGGACGAGATGACGAGGCGAGGTAAATATGAAATGTTTATTTATACATCTTGGTAATATAGCAATATAAAAAAACGATCAAGGCGAGAGGTTCTATGTATGTACATGTTTTATGCCCACGCCACTGTTGTCTACAACTAATGAAACGGATGTTGGGATGATATTATATAAAACCTCTCGTCTACCTTCTTGCCTCTCTGAGCATATAGATATGTGCACATCCTCCTACCCCCCTCTCCCCCCTTCTTTGGATTTTTTCTATAATCCCGATTTCGACATTACTCTTATGGTCGATAGGTGCCTCATATTTTCGCCTATCCACATTCCTTCAGGCTCAAACCTACGTTAACCCTTGGCCGCGGCCGAGTTCGGCCATGGCCGAGGCTGGCGGCCTCGCCCGGGACCCCCCCGGCCGTGGCCGCGGCCGAAATGGGATAGGGTTTCGGGAGAGGAGAGCGGGTTTCGGGTGGGGGTGGGGCGCCGCACGCCCTCGAAGTGAAAGACCGACAAAAAAATAAAAACAGTGGGGTCCTAAACATGAGTCTAGCAGGGTGGGCCGGGAAAATTATTGCGCCCACCGGACTGCGTTTCGTTGATGCAGGTGCGTAGGGGGGAAGGTAAGCAACACAGAAAAAATTAAAAAGAAATATGCGCCCCCTGCGGTTTGGGGGTGGGGCCCGTGGGGGTATCTGGTGGGTGGGAGACCGTGGGACCGTGGGCCCACGTTCAGGGATGGGGGTCCACCGGTTCCGTGGGTGGGTTTGTCGTTGGGTTGAGTGGGGGAGGGGGAGGGG